ACTCTCAAATACCAATGCAACATGATAGAACAAAACATATTAAAGTTGACAGACACTTAATCATCAAGAAAAAATTAAACAGTGGCTAATCTGCACTCCATATGTCTCTTCTCAAAGAAACCTTATGGATCTTCTAACAAAGGGGCTGAACAACAATAAATTTGAAAGGATTGTTTCCAAGATGGAAATAATAGATATACATTCACCAACTTGAGAGAATGTGTGTTGTAAATAATGTCTTTTTATTATTAGTAGTTGTTGATATTTGTAAATATATAGTGTTAAGAATATTTGTATGTAGAATAGTCTCACATCGATTATATCGTATAATTAGTTGTAATCTCTCTATATATAATAAAGTCTCCGTAGTGCTTTCAAGACACATGGTTTAACTTAAATGTCTCTTAGTCTATGCTAATTCAATATGGTATCAGAGCCTCATCTAAGATCCATTGGGCCACCCACCATTTAGTTCCACGCTCCAGACGCAATTCTTGGGCGTGAGAGGGTGTGTTAAGAGTCTCACATCGGACAATATATGGCCTGAACATCTGCTTATAAGTGGGGGTAATCCTCACCCTACAAGCCGGTTTTGTAGGGTTGAGTTAGACTCAATCCACATATTCTGAGATGGTATCTAGAGCCTTCTAAGAGGCAATTCTTCGCCGTGCTTTACCTGGTTGACCCACTGTCTTCCAGTGAGAAATTCTCTTCTGCAAACCGTGTCATCATTCCGGTTTACCTCACATTTTTTTTGAATTTTTTTCCAGCAACCTTCGTCGCCGCACTGCCCACGGGAGAAAAAAAAAATTTCGAGGACTAGTGTTCACCGTCGCTGTCACTGTTCACCGCCGCCGCACGGTTAACCGTCGCCGCCACTGTTCACCGCCTCCGCCACTGTTCATCGTCGCCGCTATTATTCACGAAAAAAATAATAATAATTTTTATCAGAACTCGAATCTGTTCGTAACCAGATTTTATCAGGTACTACTGGTCCTAACTATGATACAGTTAGTGAACAATTGTTGCGCTTGGCTACACCTCATGCGTTTGGCACAGTTTCTCCTCCATCTATTGCTATTCCAACACCAGGTGACATTGCTGCTCTTGCATCTCTTGCCAACAATCGGAATAGCCTTCGAGGAGGGTCATCCACCAAACCTCGTCATAAGTGTGACCATTGTAACCGGCTTGGACATACTATCGATCGTTGCTGGAAGTTACATGGCAAACCTCCACAGTAGGTAAATGCAGCTCAAATTGATAACCCAGACACTATGCAGACTTCACCTTCTCTTCAGAACCATACGCCAAGCTACGAGGATTTTCTCAGGTAGTGTCAGACTAACCAGACCTCTGGTTCCATGGCTTCGATTGCACACATCGGTAATTCATTTGTTTGCGTCTCTCAATCATCTTCTCTTGGTCCTTGGGTCCTCGACTCTGGTGCGTCTGATCATGTTACCGGTAATAAAAATCTTTTCTCTTTCCTTTCTACCTCTGGTTTCTTACCGAGTATAAGTACCGCAAATAGTTCTAAAACCCGATCCCAAGGGATCGGTACTGTTTAAATTCTACCATCTCTCTTTGTTACTTCTGTCCTATATGTACCTAATTGCCCATTTAATCTACTGTCAGTCAGTCGTTTAACTCGTTCCCTTAATTGTTCTATCACTTTTACTAACAATGATGTTATTCTGCAGGATCGAAGTTCGGGACAGACGATTGACGTCAGATGTGAGTCTCAAGGCCTCTACTACTTCTCTATGTCATCTACCACATGCTCCACCACAGATTCTCCACTCATTATACATGCGCAGTTAGGTCATCCAAGTCTTCCCAAGCTACAAAAATTGGTGTCCAATTTATCTAAATTATCCACTTTACAGTGTGAGTCTTGTCAATTAGGGAAACATACTCGTAGTCACTTTCTCGATCGAGTCAATAAACAGGTTGCGTCCCCTTTTGCTTTAGTACACTCCGATGTTTAGGGTCCACAGCGTACCGTGTCTACTTTTGAGTTTAGGTATTTTGTAACATTTATTGATGATTTTTCACGTTGCACGTGGCTATTTTTAATGAAAAACATATTTGAATTGTTTTCTATTTTTGAACAATTTTATCGAGAAATAAGAACCCAAATTGGTTTTTCCATTCGTACCTTAAGAAGTGACAATGCACGTGAATATTTATCCCAACAATTTCAAACTTTTATGTCACATGCAATGGTATTCTCCACCAAACATCTTGCCCTTATACACCTCAACAAAACGGGGTAACCGAACGCAAAAACCGACATCTCGTAGAAACCACTCGGACTCTACTTCTCCATGGTAATGTCCCTCTCAGATTTTGGGGGGATGTTGTGCTCACGGCGTGTTATCTCATAAATTGCATGCCCTCATTTGTCCTTAATAATAAAATCCCTCATTCAATCCTAATTTCAAACTCTCCTCTTCACCCAATTCCTCCTAGAGTCTTCGGGTCTACATGTTTTGTGCATAATCTCTCCCCTGGTCTTGATAAACTATCAGCTTGATCACTAAAGTGTGTCTTTCTTGGTTATCATCGATCCCAAAAGGGTTATCGTTGTTACTCACACACTCTGCAACGATACCTGATATTGGCCGATGTTACCTTCTTTGAGTCTATGTCATATTTTGCGTTCACCCAAGTCACTCCGGAACCCCTTCAGGAAAGTACTTTCACACCTCTTTCGGGAGTCCCATTATCCCCCATCATTCTAGGGAACCTGTCCCTCGAGAAACCCCTATGGTTGAACCCCCCACTTCTCGCCCACTTCAAACATATCAACGTCGTAAACCAACGTCTATCATACATGTCCCTGAGGTTGTACATGTCCCTGAGGTCGTACCTGTCCTTAAGGTCATTGCAGACTCTCCTCTAACGCTATCGCCATCACCAGATTCGATCTTGCAATCTGAGTCTGATCTTCCAATTGTCCTTCGCAAAGGTATACGTCAAACACGAAATCCTTCTCCACATTATATTGGTTTATGTTATCATCTTCTTTCCCCTTTGCAGTATACTTGTTTGTCCTCTTTGTCTTTTGTTTCTATTCCTAAACTAGGTGAATCATTATCTCACCCTGAGTGGAGGCAAGCAAATTGATGAATTGTGTGCTCTTCAAAGCAGTGGTACCTAGGAACTGGTTCCTCTACCCACTGGAAATTCTTTAGTAGGTTGTCGTTGACTCTATACAGTGAAGGTTGGTCCAGATGGTAAGATTGATCGTTTTAAAGCTCGCTTGGTAGCCAAGGGATACACTCAGATTTTTGGGTTGGATTATAGTGATACCTTCTCGCCTGTAGTCAAGATGGCATCTGTTAGACTTCTTCTAGCCATTGCAGACATTCGACATTGGCCTCTTCATCAACTTGACATCAAAAACGCATTTTTACATGGTGATCTTGAAGAGGAAGTATATATGGAGCAACCACATGGGTTTGTTGCTCAGGGAGAGTCATCGAATATGGTTTGTAGACTACACAGGTCTCTTTATGGTCTTGAGCAATCTCCGAGAGCTTGGTTTGGCAGATTCAGCACTGTAGTACAACAATTTGGTATGGTCCGTAGTGAAGCTGACCATTCTGTCTTTTATCGTCAATCAGCCCAAGGGTGTATTTATCTTATTGTGTATGTAGATGATATTGTCATAACTGGTAGTGATGAGTCGGGAATACTCCAGTTGAAACAATCTTTCGAATCAATTTCAGACAAAGGATCTTGATAAACTCTGGTATTTCTTGAGTATTGAGGTAGCCCAATCTAAAGATGGTTTGGCGACTTCTCAGCAGAAATATGTTATGAATATTTTGAAAGAAACAGGTTTGCTGAACGCTAAACCAGTTGATACTCCTATGGATCCAAGTGTCAAACTACTATCCAATCAGGGGGAGCCTCTATCAGACTCTGAAAGGTATAGGAGATTGGTTGGAAAGTTGAATTATCTCACAGTCACTAGTCTAGACATTTCTTTTGCAGTCAGTGTGGTAAGCCAGTTCTTAAATTCCCCTTGTCAGGAACACATGGATGTTGTTATCTGGATTCTAAGATACATCCAATGTGCTCCAGGAAAAGGTTTAGTGTATGAAGATAAAAGACATACTCAGATAGTTGGATACTCTGATGCTGATTGGGCAGGGTCACCAATTGATAGACGATCCACCTCTGGATATTGTATACTTGTTGGAGGAAACCTTATATTCCGGAAAAGTAAGAAATAAAATGTAGTTGCAAGATCAAGCGTCGAGGCAGAGTATAGGACCATGGTAATGGCAACATGTGAACTCATTTGGTTAAAACAGATGCTCAAAGAACTTAAAATTGAAGAAGCAAGACCAATGCCACTTGTATGTGATAATCAAGCTGCATTGCACATTGCTTCAAATTCAGTCTTCTATGAGAGGACCAAACATATTGAGATAGACTATCATTTTGTCAGAGAGAAGATTGAATCTGGCGACATCGTCACAAGCTTTGTCAACTCTAATGATCAATTAACAGATGTGTTTACAAAATCTCTGCGAAGCCCCCAGAACTAATTATATATGTGGCAAGCTTGGTGCATTTGACTTATATGCTCCAGCTTGAGGGAGAGTGTTGATATTTGTAAATATAGTGTTAAGAATATTTGTATGTAGAATAGCCTCACATCGATTATATCGTGTAATTAATTGTAACCTCTATATATAATAAAGTCTCCGTAGTGCTTTCAAGACACACGATTTAACCTAAATGTCTCTTAATCTCTCCTAATTCAATAGTAGTAATAGTAGTAATTTGTATTCGGCCCAATAATCCATTAGTCAGACTCATTAGATTATAATAGCCTATATAAACAAATTAGTGCTTGTACATTATTCATACTTGAGATATAATATTCACTTTTCACAATCTTTACAATTATTAGGCTGATTCTACGCACGAATTAAAAGGAGACAATAATAGTAATAAAGAATCATTAACCAACACCAAGTTCATAGGTTGGTAAAATTTATTAGGCGGTGTAGTGTTTCCATGTCATGTATGACTACGTGAATAAGGACAAATGTAAGAACATTAATCTCACCAGCTTGACAACTATTTTTTGGATCATAAAAGTAAGATGGACAGTATTGACTAACCAATTTCATCCAGGCGATGTCAGACTCATAATAATCATTTGAAAGGAAAGCATCAGCCTTGCTATGTAGTAGCTTCTTCAAACTACACTTGGAAACAATGCGTTATTGACCAACAACATAAGTAGTTTAGCATGTAGCTGAAAATTGAACCCTTAATAATAAGGGAATGGATGAAAGAACAATATACCTTGTTGAGTTGGTAATGTCTCCAGCTTTATGCAATAATTTAGCAGCTTTTGCAAGAAGAGACTTGTACTCTTGAGAATAAGGAACTATGTACAGATCCTTAGAAGAAGCTACTTTATCATTGGACAGACCAGAATCTAAAATAAGTTCACTGTGCCTTTTAATGACAGTGAAAAAGCTTGTTGCCTCTGTCTGTTGATCCTTTTCTAGACTGTCATTCCATAAATTGAACTCCTGCGAAACAGAAATTTTCATCTTTTTTATAAATCAAACCAAATGTTTTGATAAAATAGCTTCTTTACATGACGACAGAAATCCTTTCTCACTATATGGGATTGGTTCCATTGATCAGACAACATCATGATATTCTATCACAAATCATATCTAGTCACAAACCAAACAAATCTGAATTTTTCTATGGTACCATTTTGTCCATGTCAGGGGGGTAGAAATTAGCACCGGCAGGTTTAAGGATTGGAAATGCTACTCTGTATTCCAGACCCTTCCACTCACTAACTGTCCTAGTTGCTTTAGAGAGCAGCCTTATTTCTGAATCTGCAGTTGTCAAAAATGCCTCATCATCATCAAGGCAAGACCTGCGAAGAATGAATACAACATAATTACACAAGTATGTAGGAAAAATATTGTTAAAAGAAACATATTGCAGTGCTCAAGGCAGATATTAATATATTTTTCAAGAACACCATTCAAATTTAGCAATTTCAAGTGTCAGTTTCCATTTTAGTTCAGTTCTTTTCTAACTCTCCCTACATGCATATAATTGACATATCACTTAATTTTTGATAAACTTTGTCATATCTTTAAATTTTGCGAACACTCGTTTATTCCAATTTCTTATTATATGCATGTAGGGAGAATTTGAGATACATTTAATGTGTACAAAATGTCTCGTTGATGATGATGGTCGTCACTGTCGTGAAAAGGCAATGTGCACCGTTACATGCAAAGATAACAAGGGAAATCCGTTTGCAAATACTTCTGTCAATTCCCTCATAGTGGCCGGCCGTGTTCAAGTAAGCAGATGATAAATTTCATCCATAACTCTTGTAAATCAAACAAATTGCAGTGCAAGTGTCAGAGCTGAGAGAATTCACAGAGATAAGAGTGTTACATCTATTTATATATGTTTTACAGCTGTCAACTGAATAACAGAATCAGTTACTGACAACTGTGTCAATAACTTTCTATCTAATCTAAGGGGGAAAATAGTAGGTACGCTGTACGCCCTTACTGTGTCCTCTATCACTACATAAACAACAGAAGCTCATTGCTTTGTTAATGCTAAGGTCATCGGCAATGTGCAAAGGTCAAAATTACCATATATTAAACAATGACATAATAAGTTATTACCCTATCTGTTGGTAAAATCCTTGTAATTCGGAAATCTTCTTTGTACTCGAGGCATTGATTGGGTTCAAGTCAGATTTCTACATCAATCAGGTAAAGAGAAAGGAAGTGCTAAACAAAATTAGCCAGATGATGCAAATAGGAACTCTTGTTGGTAATCCCTGCTAGCCTCAGACTGAGAAAACAGATTCTCGGAGAAAGCTTAATCTTAAATATAGTAAATCAATCACATTCTAGACCATTGGAATTTTCAAATGTCCTCAAGTACAAGAAAACACGAGTTTCATCTTAAGTCCAAGTTGATTTTCTGAGATACAAAATCACCAAAGTCTGTTTGTCTACATAATATATATAGCATTCAGTTGGTAGAGCAAGTAGTCAAGATTTAAAGGACTTACCATGGGCTCTTGTTTATCTGATAATAGGACCATTTCAACTTATTTAACTCTGACTTATCTGCATGATCCTTCAACCAATCTCTAAGAGCTGGATTACTGTACCACGACTAATAGGGAAATAAACAGAAACTTTAGTAATACACACTATTATTCAAACATACCAGTCTTCCTGATTCTAGTCTCCAACCACAGTTAAAAATAAAGAATATTTTTTGAAGTACAAAACAAACTGCCAATCAAATTTCACAAAATAATTAGTAAAACCTAGGTACTAAGCATGATACATGGAACATTATTACATGCACGTGAAAAATTATTTGCTCACACAAAAAAGCTTAGAATTTATATATTTGATAAGAACATGTACTTTGAAAATAGAAAGAAAAATCAGCATACAAGGTAAATAAAAATTGTATATAAACACAGTTATAAATGTATTGTAACCTAAACCTGCAGATAGAAAATTTCATCCATAACACTTGCAGCCTTGACAATAAAAACAAGAGCCTCTTTGTCTGAATCTGTAAGCCCTGTCAACTGCCAAAACAACAACAACAAAAAAAAGTAACTTATTTCCAAGGTTAAAAGGGGACAAAAATATTTATGATAAATATGTTCGTAATAATCCATGAATTGGTGCGCTCAACTAATAATGATATCATAACCTTCAAAACTCATAAACAAAACTTATTTCGAATTTTAAATTTATTTATTTGTGTTGAATTAGGAGAGACTAAGAGACATTTAGGTTAAACCGTTTGTTTTGAAAGTACTACGGAGACTTTATAATATATAGAGAGATTACAACTAATTACATGATATTAGATGTATTCTTTTATTCACTGACAGGTGTCAGCTCTTTCTATGTACTGACCTGCTATTGCAGGTTACTCTTCTGTTTTCTATAAAAACAGATCTCACTTGTAACAAACTGGAATAACAGAAAATAGAAATTCAGTAACAAACTGGTATCAAAGCTTGTTGAATCAGAAATATCTGGACTTGGCAAGGGGGTGATGCAGGGCACAGGGAAATAAGGGATGATAGAACCAAGGGGGGTGGCAGGCTGAGATTGGAGAGCAGTAGCGGTGGAAGATGTGGAGCAAAAAAGATCATGAAAAGGAAACCTGGACTCATTGAAAAGCACATCTTTAGAAATATAAAGTCTGCCTTGGGCAGAGAGACACCTGTACCCTTTATGAGAGGTGGAATAGCCTAGAAAAAGGCACTCTTGGGATCTGAAGTCCAGCTTATGAGCATGATATGGCCTAAGTAAGGGAAAGCAAGCACATCCAAACACTTTTAAGAACTTGTAGTCAGGTTGGAAATTAAATAACAGAGTGTAAGGTACTTTGAACTTAAGGGAGGAAGATGGAAGCCTGTTAATGAGGAAAACAGCAGTGGAGAAAGCATAATCCCAGTACTGGAGTGGCATTGAAGCTTGACTTAAGAGTGTAAGACCAAGTTCCACAATATGCCTATGTTTTCTCTCAACCACACCATTTTGGTGATGTGTGTGAGGGCTAGATTTTACTGAAACCTTTTCCCCTGTGGTCAAGCCCATTACCATCAGGATCATTTTGACACTTGCTATCACTCACAGCTGGTCCATTCAACAATTGGATGTCAACAATGCCTTTCTCAATAGAGTGCTTGATGAAGAAGTATATATGCAGCAGCCTCCTGGTTTTCTTGACTCCAATCCTTCTTTAGTGTGCAAGCTTCACAAGGCTCTCTATGGCCTCAAGCAAGCACCACGGCAGTGGTTTGAAAAGTTGCAAACTGCCCTCATTCAACTTCATTTTGTACCCAGCAAGTGTGATCCTTCCTTGTTTATTCTATCTTCTAAAGGACATACCACATATATTCTGGTATATGTGGATGATATCATCCTAACTGGCAGCAATTCTTCTACTCTTGCAGCTGTTACTACCAAGCTTAATGAGGCCTTTTCTCTTAAGCACCTTGGCAGCCTTGACTACTTCTTGGGCATTGAAGTTAAAACCACTCCTCATGGCTCTCTTCTTCTCTCTCAAGCCAAATACATTAGGGATCTTCTGCACAGGACCAATATGGCTGATGTTGCTGCTGTTGACACTCCTATGCATTCCACTTGTAAGCTTACCAAAACTGGCTCAGCCGCGCTTTCTGATCCTTTCATGTACAGGTCTGTAGTGGGTGCGCTTCAATATGCCACCATTGTCATGAATTCTGGCTTGAGGTCTTTCTCATTGCATTTGATACTATATATAATAGTGTCGGTAATTACAACTCATAATGACTAATTACAACTCATAATAACTAATTACAACTTATAATGGCAATTTCCTATTCTATGAATGTAAATTATTCACAATAAATGTGTTTGATTATTTCCTGATTAACATCCCCCCTCAAATTGATGCGGCTGGTCAAGGAGCATCAATTTGCTAACAAGAAACTGATGTCGCGGGCGTGGAACAGCCTTGGTAAGAATATCTGCAACCTGCAACTGAGTACTGATGTGAGGAAGTGATATTATTCGATTATCGTAGGCGTCACGTATTGAATGACAATCAACTTCGATATGTTTGGTGCGCTCATGAAAAACAGGATTTGCAACAATTTGAATGGCACTTGTATTGTCAGCATAAAGTGAAGTTGACTCTGTTTGGGGAAATCCAAGTTCAGCCAAAAGACCACGAAGCCAAAGTATTTCTGAACAAGCAGCAGACATGGCACGATACTCTGATTCAGTAGAAGATTTAGAAACTCTTGCTTGCTTCTTACTTTTTCAAGAGATCAATGAAGAACCAAGAAACATGCACCAACCAGTAACAGATCGACGAGTATCAGGACACCCTGCCCAATCAGCATCACTATAAGCACTCAACTGAAGAGAAATTCCAACGGAAAAGAATAATCCGCGGTGAGAGGTTCCGTTTAAGTAGCGAATTATACGACGAACCGCAGCCAAGTGAAGATGACGAGGAGAATGCATGAATTGACTTACTTGTTGAACAGCAAAAGATATGTCAGGGCGAGTAATAGTCAAGTAGTTGAGGCTGCCCACAAGTTGTCGATACAATAAGGGATCAGGCAAAAGATCACCATCATCACGATGATATTTAACATTAACCTCAAGAGGAGTATCTACCGGGTTAGCCAATTCTAGACCGGCCATAGAAATCAAATCTGTAGCATACTTGTGTTGATGGAGAAAGATGCCCTTGGATGTAGAATGAACCTCAAGACCAAGAAAATAATGTAGATTACCCAGATCTTTCATGTGAAATGAGGCTTGTAACTGTTGCTTAAGTCGCTAAATGGAAGCATGATCCGAACCAGTAATAACCATATCATCAACATACAAAAGAAGCAGAACAATACCCGTAGATGTGCTATGAATAAATAAAGATGAATCATACTGACTCTGAATAAAGGAGAATCCAAGTAGAGTGGAGCGGAATTTCTCGTACCATGCTCTAGGTGCCTGTTTCAAACCATATAAGGAGCGTTTGAGCTTACACACGCCTTTAGATGACGAGAATAAGCCTTGAGGTGGAGTCATATAAATATCTTCTCTCAGGTCACCATGAAGAAAAGCATTCTTCACATCCATTTGATGAAGAGTCCAACCACTAGAAGCAGCTATAGAGATGATCGTGCGGACAGTTTTCATTTTAGCAACCGGTGCAAATGTCTCATCATAATCAATTCCATATTCCTGCTTGTTTCCTAACGCAACCAAACGAGCCTTGTAACGGTTGAGGGACCCATCAGAATTTAATTTCACAGAATACACCCATTTGCAACCTATAGGTTTTACATCGGGAGGGCAAGAGACAATTTCCCATGTGAAATTCTCTTGAAGAGCTTGAAGCTCTTCATTCATTGCTTTTATCCATCGCACATCCTTAACAGCCTGTGAGTAACAAGTAGGAATAGATATGCTAGAGAGTGTGGCAGTCAGAGAAGTATGTGAGGAATCATACCTGTCTGGTGAATATCTATCTGGTGCACGAGATATTCGACCAGAACTCCGTGGTTCAACCGGTACAGGATCAGGTGGCGGTTCAGCGTCGGGAAGGGGTGTGGGAACCTGTTGTCTGTGTTTTCTGACATATACATGACCTGGTTTATAACGATGGTTAGTGACACAGGAAAACAATATCATTAATGGCAGGAGAAACACAGGGAAACATAAACTGATTATCAAAAAATGTCACATTTCTAGAAATGCGAAAACGATGGTTAGTGACATCATAACACACAAATCCCTTATGAGAGTGACTATATCCCATAAATGCACATTGAACTGATTGTGCTCCAAGCTTATGCCTTTCAAAAGGAGGTAAGTGAACAAAACACACACACCCAAAAGTATGTAAAGCACTATAATCAGGATGAATTTTAAAAAGACGAAAGAAAGGAGAATCAAGTTCAATAACCGTAGAAGGAAGACGATTGATCAAGAAGACAGCTGTGGAAAGAGCTTCTACCCAAAATCGGGATGGTACTGAAGCTTGGAGAAGCAATGTGCGTGTTACATCAAGCAAATGACGATTCTTCCGTTCTGCAATACCATTTTGTTGAGGGGTATTGGGACAAGATCGTTGCGACAAGATGCCTTTTTGTTGAAGGTATTCCTGAAACTTATGAGACATGTACTCACTACCAGAGTCAGAGCGAAAATTTTTAACACTTGCTTGAAATTGAGTTTCAACATATGTTAAAAATTTCTTAAACACAGAAAACACTTCAGATTTAGACCGAAGGAAATATATCCAAACAAAACGACTATAATCATCAATAAATGTGACAAAATATTTATAGTGAGAATGAGAAACTACAGGAGATATACCCCATACATCACTATGAATCATTTCAAAACAAGTGGAAGCACGATAAGCACCAGATGGAAAAGGAAGTGTTTTACTCTTAGCTAATTTGCAAACAGAACATGAAATAGAGGCATTAGAAACATTCTTATTTCTCAACAAACCATTTTTAAATAAATGGGACAAAACAACAGAGTTTGGATGACCTAATTTTCTATGCCAATCCTCATAAGAGTTCAAAATATTATTACAAGCAAGAGATATATGATTAGAAATAAACTGGAGTGGAAACAGTCTTCCCACTTTAGGCCCCTTCGCGATCACTCTCTCCGACACCTGTTCCTGCACAAGACAACCATCACGAGAAAAGTTAACATCATAATTTTTATCTACCAATTGACCAACAGATAATAAATTAGACGCAAGTCCAGGTGATACAAGCACGTCCCGAAAATCAGAGTTGATGTCGCCAATATCCGTAATAGATAAAGTATTACCATCAGCTATTTGAATTTTCTGATTACCATGATAAGAGTGTAAATTGTTCAAATACTCTGAAGAACATGTCATGTGATTGGATGCACCCGAATCAAGAAACCATGGGCGAGAAACATTAGAAGACTTACCCTGAATTCCCAAGGCCGAGAGAGCGGAAAGTACCATTTGTTGAATCAATTCAGGTTGTATAGCACTATCGTTTGATGCCCCATTAGTGGAAGGACCAACCGCATGATTTGCATGGAATGCCTGTACTGAACGTTGTGTTGGTCGTGGAGGACGTGTGGGACACTCAGAGATAATATGACTCTGTTGCTTGCAGTAATTACAAAACTTCTTATTGCAGCTACGAGCAATATGACCAAATTGTTTGCAAGAGAAGCACTGAACTTGTTTCATATCACGATTTTTACCTTTACTTTGAGCAGCATATGCAACCATCACGGGCTCGAAAATGGTAGCATCATGAGACATGGCTCCTTGAGTAATAAGACGTTGTTCCTCCCTTAGGAGTTCTCCAACACATGTGTCTAAAGAAGGAACAGGATTCCTATTCAACAAGGCACCTCTGACAACCTTAAATTCTGGGCGTAATTTCATGAGAAATTGATCTCGACCACTTGTGTTGTAAACCTCTTGAACAACCGCGAGAGAGGTCTTGGGAACATTAGCATGTATAATAGCAGAGTGTTCTGCCCAGAGATTTAAAAAACCAGAATAGTATTCTTGAATAGACAAATCACCTTGTTTGTAGTTGGCTATTTCTAACTCCAACTGAAAACGTTTTGCCGAATTGCCCTGGTTGTAAATGCACTTTAGATAATTCCACATTTCTTGAGCAGTTGAAAAAGAGCGTAAGTTATTGATCATGTGAGGATCAATACTGTTGAGAATCCAAGTGATGATTTGAGCATCTTTAGTTTCCCACGCATCTAAACCAGTTTTCTCCGTCGGTGCCTTAGAAACACCATCTAAATGACTCCATAATCCCTTTCCTTTAACATACATCTTGAACTGAAATTCCCATGCAGAATAATTCTTGTCGGTAAAACGGACACAAAAATTCTTTTCATTTTCCATTGCCATTAGATATAACCCCTTTGTATTGTTAAATAAACAGGATAAATCCAAACCCAGTGTGCACGTGCAACCAATTTATTTAATAATACCAATTAAATAAATAGTAAAACAAAGGGAAGCAAACCAGGAAACCACGCGGTAGCTAAACCAGGAAACCACGCAGTAGCTAACGAACGGTGAAGAAACACCCACGATCTAGAAATCGCCAACAATTCAACAATGAAACCACGATCACCGAACAGAATCACCAAGAACAATGATCACCAAGCGGAATCGCCGAGAATACGAAACGGAATCGCAAAGCACAATATGTTAGCAGCACCAAATGATTAACGATCACCGAAACAACGTGCGATAAACACGGAATCAAGATCACGAAGCAACAACAATGAAGAAATCACGAAACGGCAATTGAAAGATTTCAGATTTCGAGAAATACAAACAAGAAACACGATTTCAAGAGCGACCCAGTGGGGTGTCGCTATTCAGCCAAGAGAACAAGGATTCACAGGTTAGATCGAACCCTTCTGATACCATGTCATGAATTCTGGCTTGATTCCTTTCTCATTGCATTATATATAATAGTGTCGGTAATTACAACTCATAATGACTAATTACAACTCATAATAACTAATTACAACTTATAATGGCAATTTCCTATTCTATGAATGTAAATTATTCACAATAAATGTGTTTGATTATTTCCTGATTAACAACCATTACCAGACCTGACATTGCTTACTCTGTCAACAAGGTGTGTCAGTTTATGTCTCACCCTCTGGAATCACACTGGATTGTTGTGAAACGCATTCTTCGTTATCTCAAAGGTACCATCAACTTTGGCCTTCATCTCACGCCTTGTTCTCCTCGCCAGGCACCTGCACTGCAAGTTTTTTGTGATGCTGACTGGGCGTCAGATCCTGATGATAGACGCAGCACTTCTGGAGCAGCTATTTATTTTGGGCCTAATCTGGTTTCTTGGTGGTCCAAAAAGCAGCCTGTAGTCGCCAGATCCAGCACTGAGGCTGAATATAGAAGTCTTGCTCAAGCTACAGCAGATCTACTGTGGCTTCAAACTCTTCTTCAAGAACTTTGTGTTTTAACTCAGCCTCCAGTCATTTTCTGTGATAACCAATCTGCTGTGCTGCTGGCCCATAATCCCATTCTGTATTCTTTTATTCACTGACAGGTGTCAGCTCTTTCTATGTACTGACCTGCTATTGCAGGTCATCTTTCTGTTTACCCTGCTATTGCAGGTTACTCTTCTGTTTTCTATAAAAACAGATCTCACTTGTAACAAACTGGAATAACAGAAAATAGAAATTCAGTTACAATGAAAACTCTCTCTCTCTCTTCTTGCTTTCTAATACATAATATAATCGATGTGGGACTATTTTACATACAAATATTCTTAACACTATATATCAACAATTTGCATCAAGAGTTTATCCGAGACCTCTATAATATACATACTCATACTGATGTAAACGATGCGTAGAACTAATTTCCAGTATCACATGTCTCTTTGCTAATATGTATGACATTAACATAATATGCTCTTTATTCTGCTCATAAATCAACAAAATATTTGATATTGCTAGAAATACTTTGACATGTGGCTTCTGGCCTTGTGACTCAGAATTATCTTTACCATTCAGGATCAAGAGCACGTTGCCAAGAAAATAGAGATCAAAGTTATGTTTCATTAATAGTTTTAGAAAGATGGAAGTCTTAAAGAGGCGATACCCTTCTCTTGTCTTTAATTTAAAAAAATAAATGTCAGAAATAATGGAACAGTGTGATGCCCTAAAACGTATTTAATAGAATCATATATATTTCTAACTAATTAACAGACAATTTCAATATATTGCCACAGCAGAGATTTAATGATTCAGCTTAAATACTTAACACTTGGTTCGATTATCCATTTGGATAACTCCTAAATATCAACAATTTTCTTGGCTACATCAAATTCAATATTTATTTTAAGTTACAAATTTGAATTCCATTCTGTCTGTTAAAGTTGATGTTAAAATTAGGTTGTTGAGTACATGGGCTTGGTCCAAAATTTTACATTTTACTGCCTTTATAAACCGGTGCAATATATACACAGGGAGACTGAAGTATTGGCTTCCAATTACAGTATTGTATCTCTTGCTTTCTTATTTACTCTCTTTACATGATATCACAGACATACTGGGGAAATGGTTTTCCTACAAGCCCCCGCCACAGAAAAAAAGCAATACAAGTTGAATCAGGAAAGGCCAACCAGCGCAGCCGAAGGTAAAAAATCATTTGGTAATCGTATATTGAAGAAAGACAAATACTACTAACAACTCATTCTCAAATATATTATTTCCAACAAACTGTTGTCAAGTGAAATTCACATGTAATCCACCATATTATATGGATCTTGGTCCATATTTGGCGAGCATATTTTTTAATTAGGACCCAGAAAAATTTCATCAAATCAAATAATAGTGTTAAAATGAGTTTTTTAGATTTCTTATGAGCAACGAAATTGTCCAGGTATTTTTCAAAGGGATAGCTCATGTTTTGGGTACAGAGAAAAGGATTCTGTTTGTCTGACAAAAGCTGTCACTATGGAAGATTTTCACAGATGTCAGGTATCATTTCAGATAGAATCAATCTGTGTTTCCAGTTGTTTTGGTTTTTTGGTACTGTTTTGGGCATGTCTGGATATTTTTAAGATGCTTATTACAGCTGTTTGGTGAAATTCGTGTTCTTTTATCTCAGCTCCTGTTATTAAATTTACATGTGTAATGTCTACAAACAAGAATAAGACTCCAGTCCGAGGGGAAAAAATTGGAAGATACATGTTTTCTACTCTTAAGTATCTGTTATATATCTCTGTTCAGTATTACTAGCATTCAATAATTTAGTTTATTTTTTGTTATCAACTATTGTGCCTCGTGACAAGTGTGGTCGATGGCAGTTGACGGGTCCATGGCGGAGAGCCAAAATCCTGCCATACCGGCCGCTGTGCGGCGCCGTTACAGCGGATTAGGACGGAAAAACCTGCAATATCGGCCGATGTATACCATTGCGGCAAGCCCAAAAACTGACATGTATATCCGCCACAGTGGCCATGGCGCCGCTATTTGATAACACTGCTCGTGACTCAATACTCTTGATTAAGGCCAGCCTTTTGTAAGTTGAAATTAGTTATTTCTATTTCAGACCACTTCCAACTGTTTATTATGGTTGTAAATGAATAAAAACATTGCAGCTATTATTATTCTTTCCTCAGTGAAACAAAACTAATATAATGCTGTTAAATTGTTAAAAGCACAGGGATATAAAAAGAATTAAAGCTAAATAATTTATAGATAGAAATCAATATAATGCAACAAAGCAAACAAAAATGAAAATACAACAACCTCTGCATTGAGAGAAACAGGAGTATAGCGACTTAATTGCTTTTGTAAAGTCAAACTGCGTGCTACAGTATTCTCTTTGTACCTTCAACAAATATATAAGGAAATAACAAATTAAGTATATAATCAATGACTGTCATTATTTTTTATATTGTGTGCTATTCCTTAATATATGGTCATAACTCATAAGTATATGATAGTACAAATAGTTTTAATAATATTTGTGCAATGTTGTGATTATTATACACTGCGAAGAACGCAATCCTAAACAGCTAAAATCATGAAATCCTTAATGCAAACTACAACCACAAACACCACCGCCACACTGTTACTGTTGTATCTGTACAACTTTTCATTCTTCATTTCTTCTTCTACTTTCTCGCCTCTCCTCATATTGTGATAGTGGTAGCCATTTTCGGTAGATCGTGGTAAGAAACGACTTCTCCCACATGAAAGGCAGCCTCAAACACCGCTCATGTTGAGCGCGGAAAACAGGCTAAATGTGTTGCAAAGACCCCTTCCCCCACTATACTATGCCACTATTGCGCATTATGGTGCCGCTTTGACAACATAGAGCCCACCCACTTACAAGCCTAACCACATGCGACTTGTCCGCCATTTTTTACATCAGTTGAGGTTGTGTATCATTGCTTTCTGTCCACTGGTCACTAATCATATCTGTCTTACAACAGATTCCCCTAAGGCCGATCATCCTATACTTTCTAGAATAATGCTAGCAAGTAGAAACACATTTTCTAACTAAATTTTCAACACTCTTTTATTGGTTAAAATTTACATGGGTCACACATGATTTGGTGGAATCTACGTGAATTTTAACCAATAAAAAAGAGTGTTGGAAAGTGTTGTTAGAGTGATGTATGAAGGCCGGTCATGCGTATCGAAGAAGATATTGCGTGTCGGAAAGCATTTTAATATTTAAGCAATTTCTTTTTTATTTGTTTTATTTAATTCTATTTTAAATTAAAGGTCCATAAAATCCATTAGGATTATTTTATTTTATGTATTTAAAGACCTTTGGTATTGTCATAGGGACTATCTTTCATATAATAAAATTTATTTAAAGTTTTTTTTATTCCCGGTGGCACTTGCAACTTTGTTTTCATTCTAGGTTTAGTGCTTGTTATTACCTAGGGTTTCTGACTGTGTCATTTGGCATCAGAGCAGGTTTTCTCTTGTTCTTTTCGTAGCTTGACAACTATGGCGGATCAACCGGTGACCAGAGCAAATCTTGAGGAAATTACCACGGCTTTTACCGCGGCTCTAACTGCCTTAACTGAACAGATGACGAATTTAGTAAATCAGGTGAACAACAACAACAGGAATCAGCGAAAAGACAAGGGAAGAGAACAGATTAGGGTTCCACGGGGTGGAAACAATCATCGTGCTTTTATTGCTGAAAATTCGAGTTCCGAAGAAGAAGAGTCCTACGAGGAAGAGGTCGTTGATCATGGGAAACGACATCACCATGTTTATCGAGTGAAGGCTAATATTCCATTATTATATGGAACGATGGAAGTGGAGGAGTTTCTGGATTGGCAAATCGACGCCGACAAGTTCTTCGACGTTATGGACGTCTCTTAGAACAAGCAAGTTAAGATGGTTGCAATCAGGCTTAAAAGTACTGATGATGTCTGGTGGGATAAACTTGTTGTTCAAAGGCAAAGGAAGGGATCAGCCAAAACTTGGCGAAGAATGAAACAATTGATGCTAGAGCAGTTTTTACCGGAGGATTATGAACAATTCTTTATAAGATGTACATCAAGAGTGTTCAGGGCAAGAGAACTGTAACTGAATACACAGTTGAGTTCTTGCGGTTTTCTGAGCGCAATGAATTGGGAGAATCAAAGAGCCAAAAAGTGGCTCGATACATAAGTGACTTAAAGGGATCCTTGTAGGAGAAAATGGGTTTACAGACTGTATGGACCGTAGCTGAGGCATCCAGTTTAGCTTTGAAGGCAGAACTGATGGAGAAATCTCCTCAAAATTTCTCATCTTTTAGAAGGTACTTACCCCAGAATAACTCTGAATAAGCAGGTGACAAAGAAAAGAGTGCAACACCTCGGGATTCCAACCCTGGGAATAAGGGGGCTAGCAGCTATAGCGGTGTGCAGCAGGGTAAAGCGCCAATTCAAAGGCAGAATAATCCATATGCTAGACCCACTATAGACACATGTTATCGTTGTAACGGAAGAGGCCACAAATCGAATGTTTGTCCGACAAGGAGAGTCGTTGTTGTTGTGGAAGAAAGGGGGAAGATAAAGAAAGAGAAGATCCTGCAGTTGAGAGTGATGAATATGTCGATCTTGAGTTTACAGAGGGAGCATCTAATGAGAGGGTAAATTGTGTGTTGCAGATAGGGGTGGGAATAGGTCAGGCCAACTAACAGAGCCCTACGGCCTAGCCTACGCACAGGCCAGGCTTTTTTTTATAAGTCTATTTTGTTAAAAAGGCTAGGCCTCGGACCACAAAAAAGCCTTTTAAGCCTATCAGGCCAGCTTATATAAATAAATATAAATAATTTCATTATTATAATTATATTGTATTTTGTACTTTAAATTAAAATACTAAAATAAAACTTGGTTATCTTGAATAACTTATTAGAATAGGTCGAAAACCTCTTATGAACTTTGTCATAAGTTATTTTCATAAGTTTTTCTAAACAAATAGTCTCACAATACCTATACTAATAGGTAAGTTCAGATAAGTCAATGCAAAAAATATTTAGTAACATTGATCTTTTAGTTTCTTAGTTTATAAAAACATTAATTTAATTGTTTATTGTTGATATTTGTATATAGAATAAGAATATTCTCTAAACATATTCCGTAGTATATTCTAGGATAGAATCATAATATATTTAGTATGTAATTATTACTATTGATCTGTATTTTTCTTTATATATATCATTCTCCGTTGTGGTATTCAACACACGGTTTAACATAAATGTCTCTTATTATTTATTTTCTATTTCAACATGGTATTTAGAGCCTACTAAGAGAAAATTCTTCGTTTTGCTTTACCCGATTGACCCACTGTCTTCCGGTGAAAAAAAAATTTGCAAACCGTGTCATCACTCTGGTTTGCATCACCCTTCAAAGTTCTTCGTTATTCTCTATTTCGGCACTGTTGCCGGTACTGTTCCGAAATCTTTCTGACGCCGATTTCGAAAACTGACCCCACCATCCGACTTGTTGTCCTCTGATCCGGCCGTCACCCTTTTGACCGCCTCCAACCGCCACCTCACGCGCCCGCACGGGCCCTCACCGTCCCCGCACGTGGGCTTCATGCACCGCCGTTTCTCTGACCGCCCCACTCGGTTTTGGCCCCTGATCACAGATCTGGTCTCTGTTTTTTTTTCCGACTCTGGGAAATTTGTCTTCTAGTTCAAACAGCCCCGGTTGTTGTGTTTTAAGCCATGGGAGATGCTGATTTTGTCTCGTTTACTAAAATTCTGCTTATCCCATGTGAAAAACTAACCGGATCAGCCAACTATAACATATGGGCTCGTGCTTTCGAGATGTAGTTTCACGGTCAGGGATATGAAGAGCATCTAACCACCTAATTGAGTGACGTTGCATCCGCCAAACTTGTTAAATGGAAGAAAACTTATGCCTCTCTTTGTAATGTGTTGTGGTTTTCCATAGCACCTAAACTCCAAGTGCAGTACCAAGCATTCACCACTTGTTATGAGGTGTGGCAAAAGGCCAAGAAAGTCTTTACTACTGACATTCATTCTCTATACAGTGTCATCCACAAACTCAACACACAGAAGTTGGAAAATATGGATGTGCAAGCTTATCTGAGTAAGCTTGATGCCTTGAAAGCAAGCTACGCAACCCTCATGTCTTACGCAAAAGATGCAACAGCTCATGCCGAACAACAGAGTAAATATTTCATGGTCATGGCACTTAAAAGACTACCATCAGAATTCGAATTCGTTCGTAACCCGATTTTATCAGGTACTACTGTTCCTAACTATGATACAGTTAGTGAACAATTGTTGCGCTTGGCTACACCTCATACATTTGGCCCGATATCCCCTCCATCCATTGTTATTCCAACACCAGGTGACACTACTGTTCTTGCATCTCTTGGCAACAATCAGAATCGCCTTCGAGGAGGATCATTCAACTCCAAACCTCGTCCTAAGTGTGACCATTGTAATCGGCTTGGGCATACTACCGATCGTTGTTGGAAGTTGCATGGCAAACCTCCATGACAGGTAAATGCAGCTCAAATTGATAACCCAGACACTATGCAGAATTCACCTTCTCTTCAGAGCCCTACGCCAAGTTACGAGGATTTTCTCAGGATGTGTCATACTAACCGGGCCTCTGGTTCCACGGCTTCGATCGCACACAGTGGTAATTCATCTGTTTGCGTCTCTCAATCATCCCTTCTTGGTCCTTGAGTCCTCGATTCTTGTGCGTCTGATCATGTTACTGGTAATAAAAATCTTTTCTCTTCCCTCTCTACCTCTGGTTTCTTACCGAGTATAATTGCCGCAAATGGTTCTCAAACCCGATCCCAAGGGATCGGTACAGTTCAAATTCTACCATCTCTCTTTGTTACTTTTGTCATATATGTACCTAATTGTCCCTTAATTGTTCTATCACTTTTATTAACAGTGATGTTATTCTGCAGGATCGGAGTTCGGGACAGACGATTGAGGTCGGATGTGAGTCTCAAGGCCTCTACGACTTCTTTACGTCATCTACCACATGCTCCGTCACAGATTTTCCACTCATTATACATGCGCAGTTAGGTCATCCAGGTCTTCCCAACTACAAAAGTTAGTGCCCAGTTTATCTAAATTATTCACTTTACATTGTGAGTCTTGTCAGGGAAACATACTCGTAGTCACTTTCCCGATCGAGTCAATAAACGGGCTGCTCACCTTTTGCTTTAGTTCACTCTAATGTTTGGGAACTATCGTGTACCGTGTCTACTTTTGAGTCTAAGTATTTTGTAACATTTATTGATGATTTTTCACGTTGCAGGTGGCTATTTTTAATGAAAAACAAATCTGAATTGTTTTCAATTTTTGAACAACTTTATTGAAAATTAAGAACCCAATTGGTTTGTCTATTCGTATCTTAAGAAGTGACAATGCACGTAAATATTTATCCCAACAATTTCAAAAATTTATGTTATCCAATGGTATTCTGCACCAAACATCTTACCCTAATACACCTCAACAAAACAGGGTAGCCAAACGCAAAAACCGACATCTCGTAGAAACCACTCGGACTCTACTTCTCCATGGTAATGTCCCTCTTAGATTTTGGGAGGATGTTGTGCTCACGGCGTGTTACCTCATAAATCGCATGCCTTCATCTGTCCTTAATAATAAAATCCCTCATTCAATCCTGTTTCCAAATTCTCCTCTTCACTCAATTCCTCCTCGAGTCTTTGGGTCTACATGTTTTGTGCATAATCTCTCCCCTGATCTTGATAAACTATCAGCTCAATCACTAAAGTGTGTATTTCTTGGTTATCATCGATCCCAAAAGGGTTATCGTTGCTACTCAGACACTCTGCAATGACATCTGATATCGGCCGATGTTACCTTCTTCGAGTTTGTGCCATATTTTGCGTCCATCCAAGTCACTCTGGAACCCTTTTAGGAAAGTACCCCCACACCTCTTCCGAAAGTCTCATTTTTCCATTATCCCCTATCATTCTAGGGAACCTGGGAACTGGTTTCTCTACCCACTGGAAAATCTTTAGTAGGTTGTCGTTGACTTTATACAGTGAAGGTTGGTCCAGATGGTAAGACTGATCGTTTTAAAGCTCGTTTGGTAGCCAAAGGATACACTCAGATTTTTGGGTTGGATTGTAGTGACACCTTCTCGCCTGTAGCCAAGATGGCATCTGTGAGACTCCTTCTAGCCATTGCAGCTATTCGACATTGACATCTTCATCAACTTGACATAAAAAATGCCTTTTTACATGGAGATCTTGAAGAGGAAGTATATATGGAGCAACCACCTGGGTTTGTTGCTCAGAGGGAGTCCTCGAATATGGTATGTAGGCTACACAGGTCTCTTTATGGTCTTAAGCAATCTCTGAGAGCTTGGTTTGACAGATTCAGCACTGTAGTACAACAGTTTGATATGGTCCGTAGTGAAGCTAACAACTTTGTATTTCATCGTCACTCAACTCAAGGGTGTATCTATCTTATTGTGTATGTAGATGATATTGTCATAACTGGTAGTGATCAGCAGGGATACTCCAGTTAAAACAACATCTCTTGAATCAATTTCAGACAAAAGATCTTGGTAAACTTTGTTACTTCGTGGAAATTGAGGTGGCCCAATCCAAAGATGGCTTGGTGATTTTCCAACGAAAATATGCTATCGATATTTTGGAAGAAACAAGATTATTAAATGCAAAACCAACTGATATTCTTATAGATCCAAGTGTTAAACTACTGCCCAATCAGGGAGAGTCTTTATCTGACCAAGGAAGATACAGGAGATTAGGTGGAAAGTTGAATTATCTCATAGTTACTCGTCCTGACATTTCTTTTGCAGTTAGTGTGGTAAGTCAATTCTTAAATTTCCCTTGTCAGGAACACATGGATGTTGTTATTCAGATTCTGAGATACATCTAATGTGCTCCAGGAAAAGGTCTTGTGTATGAAAATAAAGGACATACTCAGATAGTTGGATACTCCGATGCTGATTGGGCAGGATCATCCATTGATAGAAGATCCACCTTGGGGTATTGTGTCCTTGTTGGAGGAAACCTCATATCCTGGAAAAGTAAGAAGCAAAATATAGTTCCCAGATCAAGCGCCAAGGCGGAATATAGGGTTATGGCAATGGCAACTTGTGAACTTATTTGGTTAAAATAATTGTTCAAGGAACTTCGAATTGAAGATGCAAAACTAATGACACTTATTTGTGATAATCAAGCTGCATTTGATATTGCTTCAAATCCGGTCTTTCACGAGACGACCAAACATATTGAGATAGACTGTCACTTTGTCAGAGAGAAGATCGAATCAAGTGACATCACCACAAGTTTTATCAACTCTAATGACCAATTGACCAATGTGTTTACAAAATCCCTATGAAGCCCCTGAACCAACTATATATGTAACAAGCTTGGTGAATTTGACTTATATGCTCACGCTTGAGGGGAAGTGTTGATATTTATATATAGAATAAGAATATTCTCTAAAAATATTCCGTAGTATATTCTAGAATAGAATCATTATATATTTAGTATGTAATTATTACTATTAATCTGTATTTTTCCCTATATATATCATTCTCCGTTGTGGTATTCAACACACGGTTTAATCTAAATGTCTCTTAATATTTTCTATTTCAATACTTATTTACACATGTTCTAATAAAATAGGCTTTTAAGTAGGCTAGCAGGTCAATAAGGCCTTCAAAAAGGCCAAGTTCAGGCCCAAAAATAAGGCTATGGTAGGCCCTAGGTCATGCTTAGGCTTTGATATTTTTAGCAGGTCAGGCTCAGGCTTGGCAAAGCCTAGCTTGGCCCAGCCTATTCTCACCCCTAATTGCAGAGAATGTTACTAGCATCCAAAGACGAAGAGCAGCACAAGAATTTGTTCAAAACACATTGTTCTATCAAGAACAAAGTGTGTAATCTGATTGTGGATAGATGGTCACACGGAGAATCTGGTGAATTGGTAGATTATTTGAAATTGTCCACAGAACCCCATAAGAAGCCATGCACCCTCGGTTGGCTAAGCAAGGGCTCACAAGTTCAGTAACACTAGCCTGTAGAGTTCCTATTGTGAGTAAAACTTCATCATGAGATGTTTTGCATGATGTCAAAACTAGAAAAAGTTAGCATTTCTGTATATTGGACTGTATCTCTATGTCTTGTGGCACTCCTTTGCATTAGGGGTCTTAGGAATCATTAAAAACCACTTTGAAATTGATTTGTCTTGAAAAACAAGTCTTTGCATATATTTTCATTGCATGCGTCAACACATACGAATTACAAATCGACACATGCAACTCAGTTTTGAAGCTTGTAGCCTCTGAAAGGCTCAGGTCGACACATGAAGAAAGGGAAGTTCAATTGGGGGTTTGAGCAAGAGCAGAGTTTAAAAATACTAATTAAGGAGAAGTTATGTACCACTCTGGTATTAGCACTTGCCGATTTTGACAACGTATTCCAAGTTGAATGTGATGCTAGTGGAGTGGGAATATGAGTTGTGTTGTCTCAGGAGAAGAAACTAGTAGTCTTTTTCAGTGAAAATTAAGCGATGCTCGCCAGAAACGTACTTATGATCAGGAATTCTATGCGGTCTTTAGAGATATACGCCAGTGGGAACATTATTTGGTTCAAAGGGAGTTCATTCTATTCACTGACCATCAAGCTTTGAAGTTTCTTCATATGCAGAAGGTGATAAACAAGAAGCATGCTTTGTGGATGAGTTTTCTACAAAAATTTCCTTTTATTATTCAGCGTAAGTTGGGGACTCTTAACAAGGTAGCAGATGCATTGAGTTGGAGGGCTTCCTTGCTAATTACCTTAGCCTAAGAGATAGTAGGTTTTAAGTGCCTGAAAGAGTTGTATGAAAGTGATGTTGAGTTCAAGGAGTTATGGGCCAAGTGCAGTAGAAAACATTTGTGTGCAGATTTTCGTATTCGAGATGGCTATCTTTTTAAAGGGGATCGACTATGCATTTCTTGCTCCTCTTTAAGAGAGAAGTTAATTCGATACCAGCATGGTGGTGGTCTTAGCGGTCATCTGGGTAGAGACAAGGCCATTGCTAGTCTGGAGGAGAGATACTATTGGCCACACTTGAGGAGGTACGTTGGTACTATAGTCATGAGGTGTTATACTTGTCAGGTTTCTAAGGTTCAGTCTCAAAATATTAGTCTTTATATGCCTTTACATATGCCTTTACCTATTCCTGGTGATAATTGACAAGATTTGGCCATGAATTTTGTGTTGGGCTTGCCTCGTACACAGAGAGGTGTAGATTTTGTGTTCGTTGTAGTAGACAGATTCTCCAAGATGACCCACTTCATTGCTTGTAAGAAGTCTACTGATGTGTCCAACATAGCCAAACTGTTTTTCAGGGAGGTTGTGCGTCTTCACGAAGTTCCTAAGTCAATTACTTCAGACAGGGACACTAAATTTCTCAGTCATTTATGATTACTCTTTGAAGATTGTTTGGAACTGCGTTGAATAGGAGTTCTACAGCTCATCCTCAAACAGATGGACAAACTGAGATAACCAATAGAACATTGGGAAATATGATTTGAAGTGTTTGTGGTGACAAGCTGAAACAGTGGAATTAGTTTTGCCTCAGGTCGAATTTGCTTACAACAGCGTTGTGCATTCAGCAACAGGGAAATCACCATTCTCTCTGGTCTATACTTCTATTCCTAAGCATGTGGTCGATTTGGTTAAGTTGCCTAGGGTGTCGGGAGTTAGTGCGGCTACTGAGAATATGGTCGAGGAAATGGTAGTTGTTAAAGAGCTTGTCAAGGTTAAGTTGGAGGCTACTGGGCAGAAGAATAAAGCAGCTGCTGACAAACGCAGGAGAGTCAAAAATTTTAATATAGGAGATGATGTGATGGTGTTTCTGCGCAAAAAGAGGTTTCTGGTTGGTACTTACAGCAAGTTGCAGCCACACAAATATGGACTGTTCAAAGTGACCCGAAAGAACAATGATAATGCTTATGTGGTAGCTCTCCCGAATGCCATGAATATATCCAATACCTTTAAGGTTGCTGACATTCATGAGTATCAAGCAGATAGGACTTTTTATCAAGAGAACTCGGAGTCGAGTTCTTTAGAGGTGGTGTAGGAAGGCCGGTTGTGCGTATCGAAGAAGATATTGCGCGTCGGAAACTATTTTAACATTTAAGCAATTTTCTATTTTAATATTTAAACAATTTCTATTTTATTTGTTTTATTTAATTTTGTTTTGAATAAAAGGCCTGTAAGATTCATTGAGGTTAATTTTGTTTTATGTATTTAAAGACCTTTGACATGGTTATAAAAATTATCTTTCATATAATAAAATATGAAGTTTTCTTTATTTCTGGTGGACTCCGGAGTTTACCCGACGGGTTTTGTGCTTGCAACCATGTTTTCATTTTAGGTTTAACGCTTGTTATTCCCTAAGATTTTCGACTACGTCATAGAGCTTCTCTTATTTCTGTCACTTCTTCCTTCTGCACTAAGAAACATGATGGGACTTCTAATGTCAAGTTATAGATCAATAGTCAAAGCTACAAAGACCACCTAAATACAAAGTTGAGTTTGTTGTGGAAGTTTTCGATTGAGAATGATGGGAAAAGATTGACATCAAATGATCCCTCCATCAAATCTGTTTTCCGTCTACACCTCACGCTCAAGTCTAAAATAATGATACACCTCATGTTCAAGTCTAATGATACATTGTCATGAGTAGATGAATGTCATTTCATCAAAGAAGGATCACTGCAGATATATAATTAATTTTAGAAAGAGACATGCAGTACTGATCTGCTACCTCTTTACAAGAGCCTGAGCTCTGAAAAATCTCCCAAGAGAAAAAGCCAATGGTAGATCCTAAAAATACTCCCCATCCCCTAACAACTTCCTCGAAATCAAAATAACAAAATAAAAAAGTTAACAGTTAATCCTAAATTTTAATTTAAAAATAAAAACAGTGATGCATGACAACTAAAAAATATCAACTTAATAGATAAAAGATTCCTAAATTTGTTATTTCTTATCCCTCCTAGTGTAGACTCTCCAAACCTTTGGTCCACTATTCAGTTGGGTTCTATCATAAATCAATACATAATAGTGATATTTTTGTTTAGTGTGAATCTTAAACATTAGCATACCTCTTCTCAATTAAATCAAATAGTTGACCATATTGTCCATGAACATCATAAGGGACATAGTCTGAATCCTCTTTGGCCAGCAACATTTTATACTCGTCATAATTGATATATTTAACAGCAGAAACTTCAGTTTCCTGCCATCATAAAAAGATCCACTCACCAAGATCATGAAACTCAATAAAATCATGTGTATACTTTGTAAAAGACCTAAAGGACATGCATATAATTAGATTAGCATACAATTCTCATGGAAGAGTGTGCAAGAGACACATGGAAGAGTGTGAGAAACAGAGAGATTACTCTGCAGTCAACCGAATTTTGTTTATAGAATACCACCCAAGTTATAATGGCATTAAGGCATCAAGAAGATTTCAATGATTTATTTCAGAATTCATGTCATAAAAAGTTTTATCGAATTGCAATAAATGATATTATCTTTTTATTAATGATTTAGGTTATTATAGTCTTAAATATGATTATTCTCTACTTATTATTGTTGATATAGTTTCCTTAATTTTCATATTTTTCCTTTTATGAGAGAGCTTCTCTTGTATATAAATTTGTATAACCTCATTGTGAAATAGTCACCAAAGAACCGCTGGCGTCACACTCCCTACCATACCATAAGTCTCAAAAAGCAACAGTCGGACTTCAATCAGAACACAATAACTAGAACCAGCCATGCACCATCACATTCCACCACAGCCACATGTAAACTCCGACGCATGGATATTATGATGCTGTCTCTCAGTTTTAGACATCTATGTCTGTTGTTTCTCTTTTTCTCCTGGTTGTGCATCACAACCTTGAGGGTTCTTGGTTGATGCTTTAATTTTTATCCAGCTGTTTGGACCCATTTGTAGTTAGCTGGTTTCTCTGGTGGCACTCCTGGTTGATTATCACATCCTTAGGCTTTGTTTGCGAGTTTGGAGGGGAGGGGAAGGCTTTCGAAAACGGAATTTTTTTAAAATATAGGAAAATATTTGACATTTTTTGAAAAAATGAGTTCGTATAGAACCATAAAATATTGTTTATTATTACTGTATTTTTAATTTTCAAAATACTATAACAACATAAAAAATATTTGAATAATTTATCTAAGCCCTTCAAAACCCTCCTTTAATACAAATTTTGAGTTCCCTAAATTAGGGTATTTTCAGTGTTATGAAGAAAATCAAACCCTCCAAAACCCTCCCAACCAAAATCTTTCTAATCTTTTCACTCAATCCTCCCTATTTTACAAAATCCTCCCCTCCCGTCCCCTCCAAACTCCCAAACAAAACCTTAAGGTTTCTCTGCTTTAGTTTTTTTCCATCTGTTTGGACCCATGAATGTCACTGCCAAACTTTCAAAAGACGGCTTTATACACTTTGATTATCCTACTATATTCAGGTTTGTAGTAGGGGCTCTCCAATATGCCTCCATCACTAAACCTAAACTGAGTAACTCTGAATAATGTGAGTCAGTTGCTGGAAAATCCTTTGGATTTCCATTGGCAAGCAGTAAAACGGATTCTAAGATATCTACAGAGCTGTCTTAACCTATGAAGCACGGACACCTCTAGAAGTAGGCGTGTTGCGGTGTCCGACACGTGTCGGTGTCCGACACTTGTATGACACTCGTACGACACGTGTCGGAAAAGTCAGACAAGTGTCGGAAAAGTCAGACAAGTGTCTCCAAAAAATTGGTCTTTTTTCTTGCGTTGACACTTTTTAAATCGGTGTCCAATACCCATATGGCACTCATACAACATGTGTCCAATAATTCATACAAGTTTTCTTTAAAAAAATTGTGTTTTTCTTTTCCTCAACACACTTTATACATTTTCTAGACAAATATCACGCATGATTGGAAGGGTTAAACATGTATTGAAGCAATGTTATCAATCAAGAATTAAAACATTAATTTTGATTAGAATATTTTCAACTCTTTTGATATTAGATGAATAAATGAAACTCAAATAGTATAACATATATAGCGGTGTCTGTGTCCTAGGTTTTTGACATATCGGTGTCGGAGTGTCCGTGTCAATGTCGTGTCACGGTGTTTGTGTCGGAGTCTGTGCTTCATAGGTTTAACTATGACCTCCAACTACACTTTGTTTCACCTCAGCAACCATTCTTCTTGCATGACTTTTGTGATGCAAACTAGGGTGTTGATCCTGATACCCGCATGTCTACTCCTGGCAGTGCCATCTATTTTGGTCCCAATTGCAAACCCTTCTTTGTGAGCTAAATAAAAGTTCCCACTGCTTCTATCATTCATTGTGACAATGAAAGTGCAGAAGTTATGGCTTACAGTCCTAACTTTCATGCCAAGACTAAGCACATGGTAATAGACTTGTTTTTTGTTCTTTGTTCGAGAGAAGGTTCTAGCCAAGGAATTGCAAGTTGTGCATTCCTTAGTGATGATCAAAAGGCAGATATTTTGACCATGTCTCTCTCTCATAACAAATTTGTCACCTTCAAAACCAAGCGCAAGGTGGTTCTTCTGTTGTCACAAGAATACACCTCTCTTTGCATCCCTGGCTACATCAGATTCTAACTGCTATCCATTTACTACTGACTCCTCTCTTTAAAACACATGTCTCTGCTCATAGTTCTCCAGAGTCACAAGGTACTCGAGACTTTCGTCGTTTTGGTATTACTTATGGGTGTCAATGCCTTGAAACTTCATAGACCACCCCTACTTAATGATCATTTTGGTATTAATTAAAAATAAATGTTATGATTTTAGTACAATGCACTATAAATGAATGATCATATCTGAATTTTTGTTCATACTAAAAAAGTTCATGCCTTAGAGTAATAGTGATTCTTTGAGAGAATTGTGTGTTTTATTTTATAAAAAAATATATCATTCATTTATAGAACATTGTAATACAAACATAGCATTTAGAAAATCATGTTAGCAAGCAGCTTTTAAGCAGAAAATAAAACAACCAAACAACTTTTAACTTTACATCTAAGCTTTTATTTTTATCATTATCTTAATAGTATCTTTTTAGCCATAAAAAACAGACAACACACGCCTTAATATAATTATCAAACAATTAGATAACAGAATTCCATTAAATAACAAGCTGGCGGAAACTAGATAGTTAACTAACTTAGCATTGAATTTGGCATAGAAGATGTGAAACAATTGCTTACACTATCAATTCCAAATCTTAAAAGCTAGAATGAGAAGGAAATCTCCAGGTACAAAATATAAAGTTCTATCATCTCCAACAGTTTAAAATAATCAACTAATGAAAAACAATGAAGGCAAAATATGAGGATAATCACATCCTACTTTATTTTGAAAACTATACAAAAATGTGGTGAAAATGCAGATTGTCCAATTTGAAAGAGCCTTAAACATATCATCACCTGAAGTGTAAGAGCTTCCAAAGGTATTGGATTTATAGTAGTTACCAGAAACACATCATTATATTCGTTATTGAAGAATGTTCCATCATTTGTGACACTGCATTTCACATCAAAAGTTAAAATCAGCTAATTCATGGATAATAAAAGAAAGAAAGTACTGCATTAATTGAACGTGAAAAACATAATGAATCAGCAGTCTCTCTTCATATGTGAGGGTCTGAAAGAAACCCCTTTAAACAAATCCTCGGCATAGCTTGACGGAAGATTTTTTTTGGACTGAAACAGTAAAAAATGCAGGAAAACTTGAGGGTGTTTTTATTGTCATTTCATTTTACATGCTCAGTTGATATGTTTTTGCTTTTATTATAATTAAAAGAATGTTACTATATTTAAATTCTGTTTTCTAGTTTCAAACTTTTGTGAAGTAAACGGTGCAAAAAAGCAAATGTTGAAAATAGTAAACAGCACAAAAGCAAGGTGGCAGTTTAGTAACTATGATCAAAGCATATCCACAAAGGAAAACCAAACTTATTCGTAAAATTTAGATAAATACAGTAGTAGTAGTAGTAGTCCAGCATAAGCTACTACCACTCTTGTAGGAAAACAAATATCAATTCAAATGCATCCTTGGGAAGGGTTACACCTAACTCTTCTTCCAGCTCCCTCCTGAAAAAACCAAATATACAACAGTATACAGTTAGTTAATCACTAATACAATCTTCATAATCCAAACATTCTGAACCTAATTAACTCTATCATCTAAAGTCAACAACCAAATAAATTATAATTTATGAAGCACGGTAATAGAGTAAACAGGGTTTACAATAAGTATGTTAGTAGTGCCAGCTGTATTCAGTTAGTGGTGCCAGCTGTACTGTATTCTGTTAGTGGTGCTTAGCTTCTCTATATAAGAGTCTTTGTATTCATTCTCTTAATATGATCAATATATGAAATACAAACTTTCTCTTTCTCTCTCTTTATGATATTCTAACATGGTATCTAGAGCTTCTATTTTTCCGATCCAGTGATCTTCATCTATGACGTATCCGTTTCGCAACGACGGCGTGTTTCCTTCTTCTCACGTTAAGCTCTCACATCTTATCTCCGTCAAGCTTGATGATAAAAACTTCAAGCAGTGGAAATAACAAATTGACGGCGTTGTTCGTGGCCACAAGCTTCAACGCTTCGTCACGGTTCCGGTGATTCCTCACCGTTCTCTTTCTACTTCCGATCATAACCACAACGAGGAGAACGATGCATATCTTGATTGGGAACAACAGGATGCTCTTATTTGTACGTGGCTTCTCTCCATGATCTCTGATTCGCTGCTTCTGAAGCTTGTTGACTGCACACACGCGTGGCAAGTTTGGACGGAAGTACATCGTTACTTTGCCAAGCTCCTCACGACGAAAGCACGTCAGCTTCGCTCGGAATTGCGCCGTCTCTCCAAAGGTACTCTCACAATTGAGTCGTTCATGGTACGTGTTCGTGAAATCAATGAATCCTTGATCTCAATTGGCGATCCCGTTCCTCTTCGTAACCTAATTGAGATCGTCCTTGATGCACTTCCTGAAGAATAGGATTCTATTGTTACTGCTGTCAATAGCAAGGAAGATCTTAGCTCTTTGGACGAACTTGAATCCTGCCTCCTTGCACACGAATCGGGATTGGAGAAGCATCGGAAAGCAATCCTCACGGAACCGGTGTCAGTCAATTTAACGCAAGCTCCTCCGTCTGATTCATCTTCTCTGGTGGAACCTTCGTCATCTGCTGCAAAATCGTTTTCCACTGGCACTAGTCATGTCACCGCTCATGCTGAAAACAACAATTACAACTCCAACGGAGGTCGATCTGGCCGTGGTGGTGGTCGTTTTGGCCGTGGAGGTGGCCATTTTGGTAAGTCTTAATGTCAGATTTGTCACAAAAGTGGTCATGATGCCTCTGTTTGTTATTACAGGTATTCGCAGTCCACTTCTATGCCGTTTTCACCTCAACGTGCTCCCTTCAATCCCTTTCTGATGAATGCTCGACCGGTGTATGCACCTTCATTTGGTTATGCTTCGCCTAGACCAGCTGCTCCCAGACCTTCTCTACCACAAGCATTTATGGCCAGTTCTGATCCATCCTTCAGCAAACAATGGTGGTATCCAGATTCAGGTGCGTCGCATCATTTTACACCTGATTCTTCTAATGTGTCTGATGCTCATTCTGTGACTGGCTCTGAGCAAGTATTCATGGGGAATGGCCAAGGTTTGTCTATCAACTCTATAGGTTCCATGAATTTTACCGCCCCTAACTTTCCTCACAAACCACTCACTCTACACAATTTACTTCTTGTACCTCACATCACCAAAAACATCATTAGTGTTAGCAAATTTGCCCAAGACAATCAGGTTTTCTTTGAATTTCATCCTTACTTTTGTCTTGTTAAATCTCAGGCTTCTTCTGAGGTGCTTCTTCGTGGAGTTGTAGGAGATGATGGTCTTTACAAGTTTCAGAGTCCGTCATCTCAAGTGTCCAAGTCTCTCCCTAGTCTCCATTCTAGTGTAGTCTTAGCTTCAAACAATTGTATTCCTAGTACATCATGTAATACTTTACTTCATTCCAATACCAAAAGTGCTTGTATTACTGATTGTACTCCTTTTATTTCAATGAATAAAATCAATATTCCTTGTGTTAATTCACCTCTTGTTCATGCTACTGTCTTTGCTAATTCTCAATATCCACAGCATTCTTCTGTCCCAAATATTATACCTAATAGTAAGTATGCTCTGTGGTATACAAGGTTAGGGCACCCTCGTTACCAAGCTCTTGCAGAAGTGCTAAAAACCTGCAATATTCCTATACCCCCCAAGTCTCAAGCTGACTTCTGCACTGCCTGTTGTTTAGGTAAATCCCACAGACTGCCTACCTCCTTATCCACCACTGTGTATACACAACCTTTTGAGTTAGTAGTGTGTGACTTATGGGGACCAGCTCCCATACAATCTTTAGGTGGTTATACCTACTTCTTGACTTGTGTAGATGCCTTTTCCAGATTTGTTTGGGTTTTCCCTTTAAGACTTAAATCTGACACACTTACTCAATTTGCCCAATTCAAAACCATGGTTGAACTTCAATTCAATTGTAAAATCAAAGTTGTTCAAAGTGATGGAGGAGGTGAACTTAGGCCATTCACCAAATATCTCAATAACATTGGCATCACTCATAGATTTACATGTCCCCACACCCACCACCAAAATGGCATAGTTGAACGGAAACATAGGCACATTGTAGAAAGCGGCCTAGCTTTATTAGCTCACTCTAATTTACCCCTCAAAATGTGGGATCATGCCTTTGTCACAGTTGCTTATCTAATTAATAGGATGCCTAGTATGTCTCTTGCCAACCAATCCCCTTATTTCAAGCTTCTTCATAAAATACCTGACTATTCTCATCTTAGAGTCTTTGGCTGTGCTTGTTTTCCCTTACTTCGTCCCTACAACTCTCATAAATTGGACTATAGATCCAAGAGTGCATATTTCTTGGTTATTCCACCATTCATAAGGGTTACAAGTGTCTAGCAGCCACTGGTCATATTTACATTTACAGGGATGTTCTTTTTCATGAATCTAGATTTCCCTACTCCATTCTATTTCCCTCTTCTTCCATTGTAGCATCCACATCATCTCCTCATACCACTTCTGCCTGATCTATACAAGCAGTTCCTATGTCTGCCATTCCTCTCACTCAGATCAACTCTGTTCCTGTGACACCTACCAGTTCTGTTTCTCTTAGCAGCCTTAATTTTGTGTCCATTACTTCTACCAATTCTCCTATTTCTGCCCCTATTAATTCTGCAAATCCTCCTATGTTAACACCTTCTAATAATGCTTCCCCTGCTTCTGGAAATTCTTCTTTTCGCTCTCCCATCACTCCCTCTTCTCTCAGCCCTGTTACATCTGATATTGCAGAAGCTAACACCATTTCTCCTTCATCTAGTCCCGAAACCAATTCTCCTCTTAGCCCTGTACCAGCCCCCCAACAACCCTTTATCCATCCTCATAACACTTATTCTATGCAAACTAGAGCCAAAAGTGGCATTACCAAGCCTAGAATTCATCCAACTCTTTTACTCACACATGTGGAACCTACTTCAGTTGGTCAGGCCTTGTCCTCTTCCCATTGGTCTCAGGCCATGAAAGATGAGTATCATGCATTGTTAAAGAATCAGACTTGGACCTTGGTGGCACCATCTGTTTCTAGGAAGCCAATTGGCTGCAAGTGGGTATTTAGGGTGAAGGAGAACCCTGACGGCTCCATTAATAGATATAAGGCCAGGTTGGTAGCTAAAGGCTTCCATCAGCAAGCTGTCACTGATTTTACAGAGACATTTTCTCCTGTGGTGAAGCCAGTTACAGTCAGGATTGTCCTAACTCTTGCAGTTACTACAAGTGGCCTATACAGCAGATTGATGTGAATAATGCCTTTTTAAATGGCACCCTTAAAGAGGAAGTTTTCATGCAGCAGCCTCCTGGGTTTGAAGCTTCTGACAAGACCCTTGTATGTAGGCTGAACAAAGCCATTTATGGGCTAAAGCAGGCCCCTAGAGCCTAGTTTGACAAACTTAAAGGCTCCCTTCTGCATCATGACTTTCATGCTAGCAAATGTGATCCTAGTTTATTTCTCCTTCACACTGCAAGCTTAACTATAATGGTGCTAGTATATGTTGATGACATTATCATCACTGGAAATTCTGCCTCCTTTATTACTGCTTTAATCAAGAAACTGAATACTGATTTTTCTCTCAAACAGTTGGGCAGGTTGGATTATTTTCTTGGCATAGAGGTCACACACTTACCAAATGGCTCTCTTCTTCTCTCTCAAGCTAAATATCTGATTGATTTACTGGCCAAAGTTAACATGCTCCATGCTAATGGCATGCCTACTCCCATGGTGTCCACAAACAAATTGTCCAAACTTGGTTCTGTAGTTGTTTCTGATCTTACTCAATTCAGATCAGTTGTGGGGGCTCTTCAATATGTCACTCTCACCAGACCTGAAATTTCATTTTCGGTCAACAAGGTTTGCCAATTTTTATCTAACCCCTTGGAGGAGCATTGAAAGGCAGTTAAAAGGATATTGAGGTATCTCAGTGGCACTTTGTATCATGGCTTGTTGATTCAGCCTGCCTCCCCTTACCAGCCGCTGCCTTTGCTTGGGTTCTGTGATGCTGATTGGGCATCAGACCCTGATGACAGACGGTCCACCTCAGGAGCTTGTGTTTTTCTTGGTCCAAACTTGATATCTTGGTGGTCTAAGAAACAACAGTTGGTAGCCAGGTCAAGTGTTGAGGCTGAGTACAGGAGTATGGCCCAACTTGCTGTAGAAATCCTATGGGTGCAGTCTCTTCTTCAAGAACTTCACTGCAGAATTCTCACTCAGAAAATTCTCTGCGACAACCTTAGTACAGTTACTCTTGCGCATAACCATGTGCTGCACAATAGGACTAAGCATATGGAATTGGATATTTTCTTTGTGAGGGAAAAAGTGCTCTCCAAGAACCTTATAGTGAAGCATGTCCCAGCACAAGATCAGTGGGCAGACTTACTGACTAAGCCTCTTTCAGCAGTCAAGTTTCTGCCTCTGCGTGACAAACTGAGAGTGATCAACAAACTCAGTTTGCT